AATAATTTAGTGGATTTCAAGGCAGTTGATCCAAAAGGAAAGAAGGTGAGAAGTTCTCTTGAAGAAGAAGAAATTAAATCTGTGTTTTAAAGGCGACAAAGTAAAAGGATAGTTTGTAATTACCTACGACAACTGGCAATGAAGATGGGCGCTTGCAACCAGGGGCTGGTCATCCTGGTGTCACTTGGCGGCTGGTGGGGGATGCTGTGTCTCTGGAAAATGGACAGGACCCGTTTCCCTCCACCACACACGGTTCTGTGCTCAGTGTCAAGATCCACAGGCCTGAGGGAAATTTATTTCATATGGTTAATTCTGGCTCCAGCCTCCGGACTCCCCAGGTGCTGTTTCCCTTGTAGACCAAAATATCACAAATGTGCAAAGAGTGAGGGGAGGTTGAGGGGCAGAGGGGAATGCAGGAGTGTAGGGAGGGTTATTCTGCCAGTTCTGCACAACCTAATGGCACCTGGCATCATTTCCTGGCTCCCCTGACTCCACTCTTCTCTCTCCTCTCTTCTTCTCAGGGGTACCCCACCCTCCCCAAATTGTTATTCTTACCGCATCCAGAGCAGGTTCCTTGTTCTTTGCTGTCTGGACTCTTGCCACTTACTCGGGATCACATCTTCTACTGCTAAAGCCTTTTCAGGGTATTTGCTCACATAGAGTTTCCTTTGCTAGAAGAATTCTGATTCCTAGTTGATAATTATTCAGCCAGCAATCAAGACAATGCATTTTCTGTTAAAACTCATTACACTATAATCACATAAATGCCTTTGGAAATAGCCTGGTGGAAAGAAAGATTAAAAGTACATTAACATCTGTTCCCTTTCCTAAAGTGACTTTCTTTTCCTGGAAACTTCTCTCCTTCTGTCTCTCTCTGTGTCTTCCTCTCTGTCTTTTTTATTTTTCTTCTTCTTTTATAAATGGCTTTCCACCATAGAGAACCCAGAGAGTCATGGTGACAATGAGCTGTTTCCTTATTCTGAGTCTCGGAAACTGGTGGGACACAGGTGTGGCAGCTTGGTGGTAACATCTAAGTGCGTCAGTCTATTGTTTTAAACTAATACATGTAGATGAATGGATTGTGGATGAGAATAGAATTATTCTCATCAAACTTACAAATTATAGTAGAACATTTCAGGATTTTCTGCTCCTGAATATGCTTCATTTATGTCTCACGGGTTCTGCGGGTTCATTAGTGATAAATCATTATAACCAGATGGATGTGGATGTGTGGAATTAAGTTTCATTTGATCTTAATTGTACTTTAACATTCTTTTTTTCTCTCTCTCTCTCTGCAGGTGTGTGGTGTCTTGATCCTGGCAATAGGAATATGGGTACGAGTAAGCAAAGATGGCCAAGAGGTAAATACATAAATACAACCTGCCCTGTACCCAGAGTAGTAACAATAATAATGAAAATAATGAATGAAATTTTTGACAGTAATGACAATAATAACCATAATTTTTTTTTTTTGACATAGAGTCTAACCTTGACACCCTGGGAGAGTGCCATGGCATCTTCGTAGGTCCCAGAAACCTCAAAATCTTGGGCTTGCTCTGCCTCCTGAGTGGCTGGGACT